TTTCACCGGATATTTTTCTCAGTGTTGTCTTGATTTTCTTTCTTTGGTCAATCGATTTAAAATCTTGATGATATCGAAAGTAAGTTTTTACACTTATAATAACTTACATGTAAATTCAAGTACACTAATTTTGCATATAATTTTTATATAATAATTTATATTTAAGATTCTAAATGAAGGTATATATTCAAGTATATTGAGTTAATTAAATGTAGTTTTTTTAATATTATTTAGCTAGATGTAATATTTTATTATAAGAGAAAAATTATTTATAAGCAGATGATCGAAAGTAATGCTAAATATAAAATAGGAATACGAATCTTTCTGAAATATATATAAATTTGAAAAGATATATACATATAATAATAATACGTGTTGTTTTAATTTTTATCTTTTGTAGAGATTCTCAAGATTCTTGGTTTATCTTCCTCATCTTTGAGAATTCATTAGATGATACATATTATTTTTATTATTCGATTTCTATATTTTTTTTTTCGAAATAATTTGATACAACTGCTTTAATTTTTCATTTCCGATATTTGAAAAGACTCGAAAAATCGGAAATGAAAAGTAAAACAATCAAATTAAACAATCATCAAATTATATTAAAAAATTAATCTTGTCGTATTGATGAGATAATAAATAAAAGTAGATTCTTATGAAATATGATGTATAATAATGATGTATAATCATCAATGTATATTATTTCGCTTATATGCTGTTTTGATTTTTTAAATTTAATAAATATATAAATTATATAATTTTGTATTTTAAAAAAATCGAAATTTTTCGTATCTTTTTACATAATAATAAAATGTGTTTATTTATAACTTATTAATATAAAATAATATTTTTGCTATCATTATTTTGCTAAAATATTTATTTGCTGAAATATTCCTTAATAAATTAACAGTTCGTAGTTGAGTTGTTAAATTATCACAATTTTTAATGACCACGTTTCTTATATTTTTAATAAAAATTAAGAATAAGTACTAATAAGTTAGTATTAATTGTAAATTTCTATCTAAGCAAAACGTTTTAAATATATTATTTAATTGTAATGTAGTTAATAGAATTGGAAAATAATTTGGAGAACATTAGAGAAAACAACATTAAAGAAAACAAATAAAAAAAGATACTTAGATTTGCAATTTACATACATATATTATTATGTTATATTATTTATTAAGGAATATTAGTAAAAGGTTAATAGTCTGAATTATAATTCTGATTCAAATTTTTAAAGATTTCTTGGAATTAATGATTCTTATGAGGTGTTTAATTCTAATTAAATTTCAAAATTTTTTCTATGTAGAATGTGGGATGCACATATCATTTCTACCGATGTATATTCAACCAGAATCCGCCTTTCGGTATATTTGTTGCATTTTTCTGAAGAATTTCAGAAGAAAGAAGAAGAATTTCAAAGGTAATTTTATACATAATTTCAGTTTATATTGGACTAACAAAATGAGACAACAAGAGTACTTTCAATATAGCAAATCGTTAGACCATGCACATTTTTGATTCAAATCCAAATGATATCTGATGAAATGAATTGTGATACATCTTATTGTTTTTTCTCAAAAATCTTTCCGGATAAAATATGTCCTGATTATCGTAGTACTTCTCATCACGATGGATCATAAAAATTCTTGTACATGACAAAAGATTTCTCACTTGATAATGCAGATGGTTGGAGATGGTTGCAGATGATTGAAGCGTTGGTCACTTCTATTTCTAATTGCAATGAGTTATTTAAATAATTGATTTTATTAATATTAATGAAATATTATTAAAATCAATTATTTAAATAACTCATTGTAATTAGAAATAGAAGTGAACAACGCTTATTGCTCAGAATACAAAACCTATAAAAGATAAATGTCTTGAAAGAGAATATTCTATGAAAGTTCCATAAGAAAATTTATTTGTCCATTCTTATGTTATAAATCATTTAATTAATAAAAGTAGAAAAACTTTTCTGATTATTTCAATTAAGTGAAAAGATTTTTAAGGAGAAAAATTATCTTTAGAACGAACTTATAAAAATTCTATAATTACAGAGCACAATTTAAATATAATTGAAATAAATAGGTATAAATAATTAATAATTAAGTAATAATTGATTAATTAAGTATAATTGAAATAAACAGGTATAAATAGGTATGGAAATTTAAAGCTTGATACTACAATATCAAATGAAATAAACAACAACAAAACATTAACATAAAATAAAATCTTTATTGATTTCCGCATAATTGCTACTTTTATTGATATTATGTTTATATATATATATATATATATATATATATATTATATATTATACATATATATATCTTATATATATATAATATATATCTATATCTTATATATATATAATATGTATAATATATAATATATATAGATCTAATATATATATATCTTATAGATATCTTAGAGATAGATATAATAAAATAGATATAAGATAGAGAAGATGAAAATAGATATAAGAAATAGATATAAGATATAGATATAATATATATATATCTTATATGTATAGATCTTATATAGATAGATATTTTATATATCTCTTTTTCTACAGCTTGTCTACAAACTCGACTATTGGCACTAAGCATCCACTGAGTCCCATTTTTCTTTCATATGGGTACCTTCCTACTGCGCCTACAGAAACAGAATTTTATGTCTTACAAGTTATTGCAATTTTATCATTAATATATTAATACATTAAAATTACAATGTAATAATTAATGTGTGCAATAATATTACATATTCTCCTGTTTATAAATTAAGTAGATCTTGCTAAACTGAATTAAAAAGTCCTATATCCTTTTACAAATAATTACGCAAAATTTCGAGATATTAATAAGTTGTTTGCAAAACGGTATAGGACTTTTCAATTCGACTTAACGAAATCTACTTATGGTTTTTTGGCAGATGATACAACAGACCCCCTGTACACACACACACACGCGCGCGCGCGCGCGC